ACCCGGGCACCCTGTCCTCCGGCTCTGGCTCCTGAGCGCCGTGGGCCCAGCTGGGGCTCAGGGTGACGGATTGTGCTGGGGTGGCCAGAGATGTCGGACTTTTAGGGAACGAAGGAGCTGCTCTGCTGAGCCTTTGGCCTGAGAGACAGCGACGGGAGGGTGGGGCGTCTGGGTTTCTCAAATGTAGACCCTGGCCCCCAAGTGTGCCCACCTTCACTGGCAGGGCCCGGTCACTTGGGCTGATCTTTCAGGCAGCCCCGGTGCCCGAGGAGGCAGGCTCCAGGGCAGTTCTCAGGGAAGCCAGTCCTCGACGTCAAACCGTTCAGACCCCTCTGGCCAGCGGAGGGTGACCACCCAGGTGGCCCATTCGTGTCAGAGCCTCACCAGGAAAGGCAGTCCCAGCCGCAGCCGGGAGCATTGTCCTGGGCTCCTAGGAGGACTCACCTCTGTGCCCTCCTCCCTTAGCTCCTCTGTGGCCTTAATCCCTCCGCCCTTCCAGGGGCTCGCCTTAAAGAGACAGCTGGGCTGCTCATCAGCGCCCCGTATGGCGGGGGCCGTGGCTCTGGCCTCAGAGAACTTTCTGGGGAGCTGAGGGTCACCAGGACCCAGCTCCCCTGCAGAGCCTGTCCGTGCACACCTGTGCCCACTGGGCCCCGTCCCGGGGACTGCGAGCTCTGAACACTGGTTTGGCAGCTCGGGATGAGGGAGAAGCACTGGCTGGGGCAGCGGGGCAGCCTCGTGGCTGATGCAGCGTGACCTGGAGGAGGAACCCAGCCCCGAAAGGAGAGTCCCTGGCCAGGGAAGGCCTGGAGCCGTGACCTTCAGTAGCTGAGGGTGACTGTAAGGAATGGCCCTTGTCTCCCCGGGGGCGGGGGAAAGGAGAAAGTCCCAGAGCCTTCCCGATGGGACGCTTCAATTCTGTCCTGGTCTCGCGGGAGGAGAGTGGTGCTGTGGGGAGATGAGCGGAACAGATCCAGGCCGGGCCCACCCGCCCAGCAAGGATGAGTGCTGGGGGCAGGTTGGCACATTCACAGCAGCCCCACGGCCCGAAACTCCCCCACGGCCCCAAGGGGAGCGTTCTGTGTGTCCCTGGGGGTCAGCCCCTTGTCCTCTCTCCACCGTTCCTCAGCAGTGAGGACAGGAACCCCAGGCTTTGTGGCCCAGCCAGTGGAGCTGCTTCCATCCTGAGGACAGCCCCCTCCTGCCTCTGCGAGACCAGAGCTCTCCTGGGGCCAGGCTCCAGGGCTTTGGGCCTTGAGGGAGGGGGAGGCACCCAAGGGCTCCAGGGGAGGCAGCAGGTCTCCGAGGGCTCCCAGGTCCAAGGGGTGAAGGCCACTATCAGATAGGTGGTGTTAGCTGAGGTGCTGTCGGTGAAAGTGCCTGGTAATCTACAGAGCGCCCTCCAGATCATGCGCCTATGATAATGAGTGCCATTATTATAGCTGATGTAATTATGTATATTACTGTAATCACCTTAAAGGGGAGAGGAGGCTTGAATTGGGGGAGGGGAGGACTTGAGGAACAGGTCAAGTGACTCAGAAGGAGCCGGATCGAGGTGGGCCCTCCCGGGCTCCCTTTCCTGGGCCAGGGCCCCACACTGGTGCCTCCGAGGAAGTTGGTGGGAGGGAGTCAGGAGGGGCCGAGGCTCCAGGCTCAGGCTGGCCTAGCAGGTTCTGGATCAGCTAACGCTCTGATGTGGGGGGTCACCCAGGGTCATTTGGGAGTGACGGCGGGTCCTTCCTCTGGATCCAGTGCCCCCATCTGTGCCCCAGTGAAGGGGACCTGGGCTCCAGTTACCCAGGGGACCAGGCCCACCTCTCACCCCCAGAGGCTCAGCTTCAAGTAAGGGCCTTGGGCTCTACCTCCCCTGAGGCTCATGGGGGCCAGGGTGCTTCCTCTGCTCTCACCTGGGCTGCAGCAGCCAGTGGGCAGCCCCAGGTGGGGAAACTGGGCCCAGGGCAGCCGCATTCCTGTCCCAGGTTGGAAGCTAGCACTTTCAGAGCAAGAACTAGAACCCCCGTGTCTGGTCCTCACCCTCCCCTCCCAGGATCTGACATGGGGCTCTTCCTCCCCGAACCTGCCCAGGCTCCACCCCTTGGACTCCTAGGGTCTGCCCTTCCAGAAAGCTCTTTAAGGGCAGAAGCTTCCCCCTCGGGAGCTGGATAGCCTGGAGCGCTGGCCCCACCCGTTCGGATTCTGTAGGTCTGGGTGGGGCTGAGCATTTGTGATTCTAATGATTTCCCAAGCTGCTCACCCTGCTGTTGCTGCTGCTGCTCTAGGACCACAGCTCCATCCCATATCCTATGGGACCACAGCTCCATCCCATATCCTATGGGACCACAGCTCCATCCCATATCCTATGGGACCACAGCTCCATCCCATATCCTATGGGACCACAGCTCCATCCCATATCCTATGGGACCACAGCTACATCCCATATCCTATGGGACCACAGCTCCATCCCATATCCTATGGGACCACAGCTACATCCCATATCCTATGGGACCACAGCTTCCACCACCTGCTAACTGGCCTGTAACCCTGCCCCAGCCTGGGGCGCTGAGCTGCCTCTGCCCCCTCGGTGGCGGGGAGCTATTCAACTCTGGAATATCCCCCCTCGGCCTCCCTGCTGGGAGCTCTGTACGGAACCTCTAAGGAGCTGGGGTGGCGTGGAGAAGGGGTGCTCCAGGTCAGCGCTGGTGTCTGTTTTTGCATTGTTCTGTTTCGTACGGCAGCTAGGTCCTGGCTTTTGTCTTTTTCGAGGAGAGGTTTAAGAAAATAGAGAAGTTAAAAACGTAGAGCTGTGGCAGGGGGAGAAGTGGCCTCAGCTGAAGTTCACAGATCATTGTCACAGCCCTTTGCTGTCACGTCTGTAATGCAGGAACGTGAGAATACCACGTAGTTCACGGTTTGTGTCTCCCACTGCATTAATAACATGCCTGCGATGTGCATGTACGTTGATCTTATCGAATTAAAAAGGACAGCGTTTCGGGGTGGCGTTTAGTTACTGTGTTTCCTTCCACGTGGTTTTCGCCCCTTATGAGGCTGAAAGCCGCCAAAGCTCTGAGGGGTGGGCCTCTCTGCACTCCGCCCGCCTAATCCTCAGCCAGCCTGTGAGAACGGGAGCTAGCGGGAACCAACCAGCCGCGGACATTGACAAACAAAACAAAACGAAACAAAGAGGGCCTTTCTCCTTTCTGGAACAGGAACTCGGAGCACAGAGCCCTGCAGATGCGAAGGCCGCCCCCTAATCCGGGGGTCATCTGCCTCTCCTGCTGCGCTCCGGCTGTGGGAAGCGCCTGCCCCTTCTTCTGGGTCACCTTTAGCTTCCTTCCAGGCCTGGGTTTCACACACTCACCCTTCCAGCCATCGTGCGGGTTGGGTTAGTGTGACGATCTCAGAACAGCCCAGCTCTGCTTCCCCTCATGGCCAGCACCCCTGCACCAGCCCCCAGCAGGCCCGCAGGGAGGGAGGGATGCGCTCAGGGCTCCCGGGCTGTGTCCCTGGGTCCCATGGGGACTCTATGTCTGAGTTCCTTATCGGCAAGTCATAGACAGTCCCTACCATTGTCCCTCCCTCTCGACCTTCAAATAGCAAGATGCTTCCTTCAGGATCCGCTCAACTCCGGGTTCTGGTGGCTCAGCCAGGGGCCTGCAGCCTGTCCGACCGCCTGCGGGACAGACGGACAGCCGTGCAGACAGAGGAGGCGCTGGTTTCCTCCGTCAGGTGTCAGGAGGCAGGATGGGGTCTGCTAGTGCAAAGCTCCATTGTCTGCCTTCCGCGGAGCTCGGGGCTGCCCGCTGGCTGGACAACGGGCCTCCCGCCGGAGGCCTTTCCATCCTGTTGGGACGAACGGTCAGGCGGCAACGGGAACTCTGGGCTCAAACAGATGATTCCTCGCCCTCAGAAAGAATTCGTAATCCAACGTGTTGAGGGTTTTAAGAGAATCACAGGAAGAAACAGGTTTTTGTTTGTTTCCCCGCCTGGGTCTCTCTTCAGAGGAAGGTGCTGGATCGCGGGCCCGGGTCCTGGTCAGGCCGGCCGGCCGGGGCCTGTCCCCTGGAGGGAGGGACCAGAGGGCTGGGCGGGTAATGGGAGCCTCTGTCTTCCGTCTGAGCAGCAGCCTCGGGGATGGGAGGGCTGGGGTGGGTGTGTGTGCAAGGTGCGCTCACTGAGCCCAAGCACAGTCCCTGCTCCTCACAGCACTGCTCCGGAATCGGGTCCAGAGCTACACCCTCTGGCTTCCTCCTGCCCCGGGGCCAGATTCGCACCCCAGCCTCTCCCCAGGTGTCCGGAACCACCCAGAAGATGGAGGTGGACCTAGAGCGGCACCTGGCCCGGCTCAGCGAGATCTTCGCCGCCCGGAGCGATTACCTCCAGACCCTGAAGTTCATGCAGCAGAGGGCGGACAGCGTCATCGACCAGCTGTCAGGGGTGCCCGTGTGGACGGAGGTCACAGCCCAGCTAACCCAGCTGGCCGACCAGACCAGCTACGTGGAGTACTATAGGTGAGGGGCCCGCGGGCGCTGCGCTGGCTTCCTTCTTCCGAGCCTGCGTCCTGGGCCCTGGCAGGGAGGTGCCCCAAAGGCCTTCATGAGCCATTAGCTGAAGTGAGAGAACATGAGAGCTCACGGGGCCGAGTGCTGGGCCTTAGACCAGCCTCCTGAGACAGGCAGGCGCCGAGGCCTGTGAGGGCGGTGCTAAGCCAGGACCCAGCGTGGCCCTCCCGGTACACAGCATGGGGCTCCCGGGACCAGCATGCTCCCTGGCTGCTGCTGGGTCAAGTGCAAGTGGTTGACAGTTCCTCACCTGCCATGGTGTGTGGAGCAGGGGGCCAGGGACATGGGGGCCTCTTTGCCTGCACAGAGCCCCCCCATGATGGCAATGTCTTAGCAAGCCCAGCGGTGCCCCGAGCTGGAGTGGTGGGGGCTGGGGGACACCACCCCCTCCTTTGCCGTACTCGGATACATCATCTATTCTTCAGGGGCCCGTTTATGTCCCCCTGCCTCCCCATTCCTCAGACCCCATCCCAGGTGAGGACGCTGGGCACTGGTCAGCTGAAGGGTCTAGTGAGGTCACTCTGGGAGAGCCAGTGAGGGCGGCAGCCGTCTGTCCGGCTGGGTGTCTCCTGGCTGAAGGTGGCACCCACCCATGAAGTCACTGTACCCAGGCCCGGCATGGAGGAGGCTCGAGGGCAGAACAGATAAATGAACCCTGACCAAAGAAGTGTCAGCTCTTTGGACCTCCTCCCCCCCAAGTCGTTGACTCCTTTTCAAGCCATTTGCAAAGGTCAGAGCCTTTAGCCCAACGTTGCACAATTTACTCTGGCTTTCTGGATTCGTTTCCCCTTTGTGGGAAAGCCCCACCCCAGGCTGAGCGAAGCCAGGGACCTCCCTGCCCTGGGCTCTCTCCTGCCCAGGGTAGGAGATGGCAGGGCCCTGCTGAGAGGCAACACATGAGGTCTTGGCTCCAGATAGCGACACCCTCCCCTCGCCCCCCACCCCCCCGCTCCGCTCAGCAGCTACCCAGCCCCTGCACTAGATGGGTGATGGTGTGCAACAGCGCCTTCCTCCCAGGTGACGGAAGGAAACTGCCAACTCTGATGACTGGCTGTGACCCATGACCCCAAACAGTGACCTCTGATTAGTCCTGGGACGTGAGAGACAGTCATTGCTGAGCCTTCGCAGTCTTTTTGTTAGGCGGGGTCAGGTGGGGTAGGGCGCAGGCGTCCATTGTGACCTGCCGTTCTCTGAGAGGACCTAGCAGAGGACCTCGTGCACTCAAGGGCCTGACATGGGCATTTTGATAATGACAAGGATGAAATAAGTCAGAATTCCCATATCTAATTTAAGGTAATTTTATTAAAAATGGGAGGGGAGGGTGGTGCCAACTGCACAGAAGCTATTTCAATCTGGGTGATTGACAGGGACCCCTAGAACTCCCGTCCCCAGCTCCCACCCCTTGTCCGGGTCTGGGCAGCAAAGGTCTCCTCCCAGGTTAGCGCCTGCAGCTCCTGAGCCCTGAGGATGACCTGTCCCTTGTCCTCACCCCTCCCCTCACCCGTGGCTCTGGGTGCACTTTGTCTGTTCTTGGCCCAACTGGCCTTAGGGCTGGGGCTCCTCCAGGCACCTCCCCATCTCCACTTTCCGGGTGGTGTAGAGCCCGGCCATCCAACTCCGCAGACATTTCTTAGCTCCTATACAGGCCTAAGCACCGGAGGCATGAGAGGCCTGCAGGGACGATCCGCTCCCAGAGGCTCTGAGAGGCTTCTTGTACCGGAGTGAGCAGAGGACTGAACCCGCGGAGGCCGGTGTGGGAGGGGCCCTGGGAGTAAGGGCTGGCAGCTGGCAGCTTCTTGGGGAGCCAGGAGCCACGTTCTCCATTGGAAATACAAACCCAGGCCATCCCCCAGCTCCTCTGGGAAATGCACCCGCCTCACAGAGCTGTTTCCGGGACCATGAGGCGTGGCTACAGAACGGGGGGTTGAAGCTGGGCCCCGGAGAGTGAGCTAGAAGCAATCCTAACTTGATTTCC